CAACATTCGATTATCTGCCATCAGAGATGGCAATGAAGTTCTCTATGATTTCACTTTTCCCATTTTTTTTATCTTATGTTATTGTATTCTTCTCGTCTCCTACTGAACAACATTCGATTATCTGCCATCAGAGATGGCAATGAAGTTCCACTGAGCCGATCTCTGTTAAATCCTTGCCGACAATGATGAGAAGAGTTTTTGCATATGTTCGTCCCATTTGTTTTGCTTGATTAAAGCGTTGTTTCCATTCTCTTCCTGTTCATTTCTATCGCATGTACCCTGTTTGCGATCAACCGAGGACCTGCTTTTTCTGTTCAGTTGTTTGATTAATTTTAGGCGTAATATTCCTCTTTAACTGTTTGTCCATTACCGTTTATCAAATCTGCTATGAGAATTTTGCCATGTTTTCTTGCTAGTTGCTAATCTTTAGTTTGGCGTGTTTTTTTATTGTGTTCACTTAGCTTAAATAATGGTCCAAATTCTATAGGATTGCAATGGCTGGGTTGTGGTATGTCAATCAGAAAGTGAAAAGACGGTAGGCGTGAGATTTTCATTCACTATAATTCATCTCAATAAATAGGATATGTACAGTTATGCAGGAAATTCAAATAAACAAAAAAGAAAAAAGAAAAATTAGTAAGATGTGAAGGGATCGATGTAATCCCTCATCTACAATTTAAAACCATAAAAAATGGAGTTAAAAAAATATGATTACATAAAAAATGGAGGAAATAATAAGAATCCCTAATAATGAGTTTGATCCCTAAAAGCTTGGTGGTTAGCTCGGGAGATAGGAACATAAGAAGAATAAGCTACCAAAAAAATAAAAAAAAAGAGACAAAGAAATGAAAATAAAAATCTAAGATAAAAAAAGAAAATTATAAAAAAATAATAAATCCATAATATAAACAAATAAATAAACACAGTTCTGTAAAGAAATAAAAAATAGTAATAAAATAAATAGAAGTTAAAAAAAATAAAAAAGAAAATGTAAAAAAAAAACAAAAACAATAAAAAAATGTTGATAAAGTATGTTCTCTTTTGTGATGGTTGTTCTTATGATTTGCTATCTCTATCAATTTGTTTATGTAGTTGCTTATTTTGTGTCTATGCTTGTTTGGAACCTCATATGGGCCCTACCTACTAGACCCGGGAGAGGGGTGCCTAATCATTTTCCTTTCCCATTCAAGTCTTATCCGAACTGGTTTAGTCGATGCCTTGGTTAATGGAGTCACTATTGAAGCAAAATGATTTTGATACTATTCTTGGAGGTCCCATCACCTCCATTTCCTAACTGATGGGTGGTGACTCCATTTTCCAGCCCAAGTGGCAAGTGAGCCGTTTTCCGACACTTACATATATGTAGATGGTTCATTTGATCATAGATCTAACAAGGCAACTACGGATATCTATACATATACTAAAACAAAACATGCCACATCGACAACCTTCTCCTTGTTCCCTTACCCCAATTGAGCCTTCTCATTCATCCTCAAAATACTATTCTTAACACTCTCAACTTGCCACCTCAGCACCCCTTCTCTCTAAATTTCTTTCTCATTCGCATTTACATTATGAATCACTAAAATAATCTCATATCCTAAAATTTCTCTTAAATTATCTATTCCACCTAAAACATACCATAATCTATCTCACATGCCAAATAAACCATCCAATTTTAATAATTCTTTCCCTCCTCAATTTCTCTCCACCTTGCAAATACAAGGATTTAATTTTTTATCAATGTATTAAAATATTAATGTTTGGGTTTTTTTTTAAACAATTTAAGCTAAAACTTAAATATTGAAATAATACGAGTAAAAAAACTAAATTTATAATAAGAGAAAAAAGATAATATAAAATGACAACTAATAAAAGTAAAGCAAAAAACTTAATAATTAATTAAAAATCTTATTATGATTATAAATCATATTTAAAACTTTCCGTTATAAAATCTCTATCTCTCTTTGTGGGATGCTTTGGGCCCCAAACATCACTATTCATATTGATGTTGAAATTTTGCAAACACTATAACATGAAGATGGGTCAAGAAAATATAAATTTTTAGTTATACCAAATTAAATAGATTTCGATTATCTGGTTTGGTTTGCCAAATTTGTTATATAATTTTTTAGAAAATATGTATTGAAAATAAAAATGAAAAACATCATTAATTTTACTTTTATTTGACATGGTTTTGTTAAAATATTAATGTAAAAAATATTAAAAATTCACTTATGGACAAAAACTTTCGTGTATTTGATTAACAAAAAAAATATGAAGACAAATTATAAATAGTTTATAATAAAGAAGAATGCAACCAGATGAAACTCTTTGATTTTGCTTGATGACATGACCAACTTCTAATAATAGTCGAATTCAATGAAGACAAGCCATTATCATGTCTCATGTGCTTCTCAAAATGTTGATGTAGATTTCTTTAATTTAGTGCTTTTGAAGAGTTGATGTAGATTTCATCACTCTAGGCTTCATGCTTAATGGTTACAAATGATGCTTCTCTAAGAAGACCTTTTTTGTAGTGACTTAATATTTTTGGGAGATCTTGAATCCAACTGTGAAGTATAGAACCAAGAAGTTGTTTTTTCTTTTTTCTTTTTGTAAAATTTCAGATTAGTACCTTGTACTTTGGGCCTAGTGCCACTTTGGTCCCAAAAGTTTAAAATGCAACAATTTAGTACCCGAACTTTCAAAATGTGTCAATCTAGTACCTGTCATTAACCAATCCATTAACTAGCCGTTAAGTGACATTTGAAAAGGCAAAAATGCCCTTTGATTGTCATATAATTTTCTTTATCAACCATCCATATGTTGATAAAAAAGGAACAGTCATAAATCATTGCCTCTTCTATTCAAAAAAGTTTGGGTTACGTCTCAATGGGCATTCTGGTGACCCAAACTTTCTTGAACAGAAGATGCAAGGATTTAGGACTTTTCATTTTTTTGTCAATGTTTGGATGGTTGATAAAGAGAAATAGATGACACTTGAAGGGTCTTTTTGTCTTTTCTAATGGCACTTAACAGCTGGTTAATGGCAGATACTTGATTGACATGTTTTAAAAGTTTGGGTACTAAATTGTCACGTTTTAAAGTTTGGGGACCAAAGTGGCACTAAACCCAAAGTACATGGTTTTAATTTGAAATTTTCCCTTTTTTTTTCTCCCTCTTGTATTTGAAGTTTGCGTTTGCTAAAGTTTGTGATTGTTTATAATTCTCAAGTGTTTGTGTGAGTGAATGAGGTGTTCTAAAATGTACATGTAAAAAAAGCTTCTTTATCCCTAAGCATGGCTGTTTATAGCTTATGATTAGGGCTTTCCACCTCAGCCAGCTTTGCCAAAGTGGGGTGTTCGGTTAACTCCTAAACATGCTCATTACGAAGGAGTTAGTGGTTTTGCTAAAGGGATTATCCTATTGCACTAGGATATAAATCTGATTGGATTTAGTACACTTGGATCCTTGGGTCATGGCTCATGTTTATGTTGACTTGGGCCTTGTGCCCATAAAGGCCCATATTAATTTAGAAAGTTACTATATAAGTTAGGTCCATAACTTGGGCCAAACAATTCAAATGTTTACATCACTACTTTTTTTTCCCATAAATTACGTGAAAAGTTCACTACTAATTTTCTAAAACTTTTTTTTTTCATACTAAAATGGATCGACCTGATTTGATTGTTTCAATATAGTTACGCAATTTTGAAAATAAAAAGAGTAAATAAGAGAAAGTTTCACAAAATATATTTAGAAAAGTATCAGAAAAAATATTAACAAATTAATTGATTAACAAAAAAATTGATAAAATTTGGGGAATTTCTGGAAATAAATTAGAAGATAACAAAAAAAATTAGAAACTTATTTTTTAATTAAACAATAAATAAGAGAAAATTTCACTAAATATAACAGAAAATTCTAATATGTTAAAAGTAATATTTATTGAGAAAATATAAAAAGTTGGGAAGTAGCAAAAAATACATTAGTAACTTACTTTACATGGCTAACTTATTAATTAAAACAAATTAAATAACTTACTCTAAAATGAGTAAAATTAATTTTATATGTTAACAAAATTAAATAATTAATAGAAATTAACATAATTAAAAAAATATACAATTGATGCAAATTAATAAAAACATAATTTAATTAAAATCAATAAAAAATATTATTTTTTAATTTAACTTAATAAAAAAGTAACTCCCCCTCTTTCTAATTCCTTGTAGATTTTTGTTTTTTGATTTATTAAATAATACATAACCTAATAATAATGCTAGGATGTATAGAGTTTAACTTAGCCCAATTATATATGTAATAAACTCATCTCTAAATATCACGCATCACGTTTAAAAGTAATAAAATTAATAAAATAGTAAAAATCAATCGACACTTTGTTTTAATCAAATCCAATGATTCAGTATATAAATTCGTTCCAATATCCACTATGCAATGCATATATTTGAATTCAATTCATTTATGTATTTGGATATCCAAATTTACTTCAAACTCAATAAACCTGCACAAAATTATGTCTCAAGCAATATTCAAATTGGATCTGATTAATAAACAGATAACATTTTCAAATATGACCCGTTGATGGCTAGATGGTAAGTTTGGAAACGAGGTAGGATCGGAATCGGGTCAAACCGCTCCATTAACTTACATACGTTGATCTTGTTCATGTACCGTATTACATACGTTGCAAGGAATGCAAACCAGCCTCCTCTTTTTCATCTATGCTATGAGCTAAAACCCTACATTGGAAAACCTCAGACGCATGGGAACCGGGGTCCCAACCGCCAAAAGTAGCGTCGCCATTTGACACGCCGGGAAGCCTTGAAAATTCGCCGGAAATCCAATCACCGCTAGAGAATCTCATTGCAAGGTCGGTACTAGGTTAACTTGTTCCACTTCTAATAATTCTGATTCTAATAACGAGAAGCAAGTGCATTCAATTTTATACTTTTATCTTAATTATTCATTGGTTTTAGGGTTTAAGTGGCAATGGCGGTCATATCTGGTAGTCAAGAGAAGCCTCACAAATCCCATCGATCTCGTCAGTCGGGTGCCTCCGCCAAGAAAAAGGAAAAAGCGGATAAGAAGAAGCGGGACATCACTGAGGAGAAGAAACAGAATCCTAAGGTTCGCCCCTCCCTTCAGTCGAATATGTTTCGGAGTTTCAGTAGCTGTTAGTAATTTGCTTTTACGGTTTGATTTTATTCATTATTTATTTTATTTATTGTTTTTGTTTTTGGTTATAGGCATTTGCGTTCAACTCATCTGTAAAGGCCAAGCGATTGCAAGCGCGTGCTGTAGAGAAAGAGCAGCGCAGACTTCATATCCCGACTATTGATCGTTCGACTGGAGAACCAGCTCCATATGTAGTTGTCGTACATGGGCCCCCAAAGGTATTATCCACTGCTTTCCAATTGCTCTTGAGCTATCACTTCGAGTATCTTTGAGAACTAACCGGGGGTACTATCCGATGGAAATCCAAAATTTGCATCTGGGTCAATCTGAAACATGAGTGACATGTTTGCTGAAGTAGTTTAAACATGCTTGGTTGCAGGTGGGGAAGTCTCTTTTGATAAAGTCTCTTGTAAAGCATTATACAAAGCAAAACTTACCTGAGGTTCGAGGTCCAATTACAATTGTGTCAGGTTTACATTTTGCCTTTGTTCTCAAGTAAAGTACTGAAAGTGATGTTGTTGTTAGGCTTTAATTTGTGGAAGTTAATCAATAGTTTCAAAGTGGTTACGGAGTACGCTGCCATATAAACATGTTTCTGATTGGTTCAATTTGGCTTCTGCTTGCGATGAACTTAATTGTTGGCATCAGGTAAGCAAAGGCGGCTACAGTTTGTGGAGTGCCCCAATGATATTACTGGGATGATTGATGCCGCAAAATTTGCTGATCTGGCGCTCCTACTTATTGATGGAAGTTATGGGTTTGAAATGGTAAGGCATAAAACTGAGATTTGAACTGAAAATTCTTATACATATAGGTGTCATAGCTTTTGGTTTTCACTACTGCAGATGGATTTTGTCATTAAGAATTCTATTATTTATTTATTTTTTTTACACCAGAAGACCTGGGAGTTGGCAAGCCTGAAAGAAAAAGATTGGGCCTTGGCTTCTATGATTTAGTTTGAAGTTATCTTTTCTAGTGCTATATCTTTTTATGTTATTATAAGTAATAAGATAATTGTTCAAAAAAGAATAAGATGTTGATGCATAAATGGTACAAGTGATACCAAGCAAACAAAGACTAGTTATACCAAATTATCAAGTATTACAAATTTAGAATTCATGTCAAAATTTTATCCCAAGAATTTGAGGTTCTTTAGTCACATATGCACAGATGTGCCAGAGGGATGAGTCCCCTTAAGTATTGTGTTGGTGTCTACATGTGTTTTACATGGTAACAGCCAAGCAAAGTTTTCAGAAAGCAAAATAGGTAATTATGGCAAGGGAATCTGCTTTATCCTTTTTGTTTGTTCTCGTCGCAGATGTTTTAAGCAACTAGATTTGGCCTGTTAACAGGTCATGGAATAGGGAGGGATAGAGTGGTTGTTTCATGCCTGCAGTTTACAGATATAAGCATTACTTGTTTTCAGCATACGAAGGTGGGAACAAGGAATAAGCCATGTCCATCTCTAAATAAGGATGGGACATCTTCCTTGTCCTGAGAGAGATGGAACGATCTAGGTATAATATATTCAAAGGACAGTAAGACAGTTACCCATCAAATGTCAGACATGAATTTTATTAGGTTCTTATTACCCAAGCCATAGCGCACAAATGGAATGTAGATGTTGTATGTTCGAATTATACCTTTACGAGGATTGGAGTGAAGAACTGATGCATGTGTAGCTTGCTATTAACATCTGTTAATGTTAATAAATTCATATCGTTGCTGCTGATGATAGAGGTGTGGGGACTACTACATTCACATTGGAAGCACCAATGCCATTTACCTAGGATTCAACATTCCTTCCAATGTTTCTAGCTCATTTGGATGTTGATGGGCTAGCCTAGAGTCTGTCCTCAAATTATAAAATCAATAAACAAATATCCAAACATGTTTCTAGTGCGCAGCCAAGCACATTTTGAGTTTTCCCCTTATTCATGATTCAATCATTTCTTTCTTCTCACATGGTTCTCTACATTATCTTTTTCCCTTTTTCTTTTAGGGGAACTAAGCCATCTGAAAAAAATGATGAGAGATATACTGGAGGGGAGGGCCATTATTGAGCATTGAAAAGAGAAAAAAGGTGGCCCAATATCTTTGAATATTAACAGAAGGGGATAATGATGTTTTGATCATGGGAGCACAAGGAAGTTCTTTGATTGATAGATCTGAGAATAAGGAACAGACAACAGAGGGAGAATGGGAAGACTTCTAGTGCTGTCAGGCACTTTAGAAGTAAAAAATATCAAAGAGCTATCCAAGTTTTGAAAATTTTTGCCAGAATTGGGGGGGGGGTTATTTGGGGTTGGATCTCATAAGAGGGTGAAGAAAATTAAGAGGGCTGATAAGAGGAGATTTGTGATGGGTTTTAATCAAGTCAATAAAGAAGCTGAGTTTGTGGATAAACATTTGAGTGGTTCCAATTTGGAGTCCAGTGTTCATCAGTAGGATGTCCCAGTTACATGTTGGTTGGATTCTAGTTTTAATGCTAATTGGTGGCAAGTATTTTGGGTGGGGGGTTGGAGTCTTTTGTTTTCTGAGGTGGGGAAGGTTGGATCTCTGTTATTAAGTAGGGTGGTTCCTTATTACCTTCTTTTGTACTTTTTTTTAATAATTGTTTCTTTTTATTATAAAAGATCCCTGAATATTAGCACATGGGAACAGGTGCAAATGAAAACCAAGAAACTATTCATCTTTACAGAAAAAGAAATAATAAACTATTCATGAATCAATGCACATATTATTGAGCATTGATATTCAATTGTAGTATATATCCATATGCATACCTTGTTGGTTTGTTCTTTACAAGTTGGTTTCACTGCTTTTGCAGGAGACTTTTGAATTCCTTAATATTTTGCAAGTCCATGGATTCCCAAAAGTTATGGGAGTTCTTACACATCTAGATAAGTTTAAGGATGTAAAAAAACTGAAGAATACTAAGCAACGCCTCAAGCATCGGTTCTGGACTGAAATATATGATGGAGCTAAGCTATTCTATTTATCTGGCCTTATTCATGGGAAGTAAGTCTTAATGAGTTCATTTTTGCAACACGTAATCCTTGTATTGCTTGAAAATGAATATTATCTCCAACTTTTTTTTTGACAATTTGTTTGCAAAGAGAAAATACAACAATTCTTCATCTAACTGGTTTCTTATTCTTCTACTAACTGAATAGGTATCCGAAACGAGAAATTCACAACCTTGCGAGATTCATCTCAGTCATGAAATTTCATCCTTTATCGTGGAGGGCTTCACATCCTTATGTATTGGTAGATCGTTTTGAAGATGTTACCCCTCCAGAAAGGGTGCACATGAACAAAAAATGTGATAGAAATGTAACATTATATGGTTACTTGAGAGGTTGTAATATGAAGAAAGGCACCAAGGTACATGCTTTTAAATCTCTATAGTTTGAGTTTTCTTTTTGGGATCAGTCTACAGCTAGAGTTTTCTTTTGTTTTAAATTTGTAAAAATTGAGAATTTAAGATATTAGAGAGGGTATATGGAGCGCTATCATCATTTGTCACAATGTTTATTACACCTTATATCTTTGGATAAAGGATTTATTGTTTTTTTAACAATCTTCTGTTGCAACTTGGATGCTTTAATAGCCTCTTGTTAAAGGAGTCTACTTTTTTGTTATAATTAATCTATTCTTTTTTTGTTTTCCTACATAAGTTTTGGATTCTTATACCCTCTCTATTGGTAGAACATTGTTGCTGATAAAGAACCTCTTGGTAGAATTCTGTGTCAATTGTAAACCATCTTGATCAGTGGTCTGTTTGGTGAATTTAGAAATCTAGTGATAAAGGTCTTTTGCAAATAATTAGATATGTATATCTGCTTCAATTTCGAAACAAACTGGTGTGTACTCACTTTTATTAGCACAATTGGATGCAACAAATTAAAAAAGAATAAAGCTAGACTTGTAAATAATTGAACACTTGGATAGCACTGGTCTAATGTTTTAAAAGGTGGACATGAGTTAAGGCACTAGGATCTTTCATTATGTGAAGCGAAGCCTGGAAGTGTGAGAAAAAAGCATGGTATAATCCACAAAAGGACTATATCCTTATATAATAGTTTTCAAGGTGCCAAGGCGAGTCTAGGCAACAGGGGGCACTTTGTCGCCTAGTCACTTAGGCAGTGGATTTTATGAATAAAAATCAAAAGTTAGGATAATTTCCTGAGTTCCTAGCAAGCAGCAACCAACTTTCACTAGTAATTGTCTATAATTTTCATAAAAATGTATAGACTTCATTTAAAACATAGAAAATGAACATATTCATGAAATTTCAGAAAATAGGGGGCTGAACCCTATTTTTGTCCTAGGAAAAGAAGAAAAGAAAGGATGAAAGAAGAAAAATAGTCAATATGTGTTGATTGGACAAAATTTTGAGTTCTTTCTTGCTTATCAGCTCAGGTTTTGAAGTCTTCGAGAGTTCAAGACAACATAGATATTGATTGAACCCTAACAAATAAGAAAATAAAGAAAAGAAATTAACATTTTAAGTCGCAAACTGAGTAATTTAGTTTAACAATATTTGTTTTATTATTATAATCTCAAAAAAAATTAAAAATATAAAGGTATATTATAATTTTTTTGAGAACAGGTAAAGTAAATATCATAACATGTACAACAAGAAGACATGTATTATAATATAAAAGTATATTATAATGCTTGTTGTGTTATAATATGCAAGTATATTATAGTATCACTTAAAAGAGGGGAATGTGGTGTTGGTGCACAATGAGGAGGGGGAAACCCCGATGGAAAAAGGTAGGGGAGAAGAGGGTGGAGATTGAGAAGCTGGTGGAGAGACAGGTGGTTAGGAAAGCAATAGAGCAATTTAAAAGAAGCAGAAGGGAAGAAATGAATAAGAAAAATGCAATTCGGGAGGGACGAGAGGAGTGGGATGAAGGAGAAGAGATGGAAAATGATTGGGTTGAAGAAGATTAAAGAGGTTAGTGGAAGAATCTTGCAGGGGAATTTAAGAGGGATTAACAAAAAGAGGCTGATTTCCTGGACTGCTAGGAGGTTTTTGAAATGTAGAAGAGCAATGTTAGTAAGGATTTGAGGAATCTATGAAGTCAAGGAGTCGAAGTTGGTTCTTCTAGTTCGGCTGTAGTAAATTTGCAATAGTTTGGGCCTTGTTTTTGTTTGTGGTATTTCATCCAGTGGGAGTAGATCTAGGATAAGATGGTGGAGGTGGTGGGGTTGCAAATCCATGAGTTGGAGTCTTGAATTATATTTCTTATTGTTCTGTTTCTGTTTATAGGTGTATTTTTTAATTTTATTAATGAGTTTTCTTTTTTACTTATCAAAAAAAGAAAAAGAAAATGAGGCATCCATGAGTGCCTTGTTGCCTTGACAACTATGTATGTATAAATGGATCGATCATGAGTTGGAGTCTTGAATTATATTTCTTATTGTTCTGTTTCTGTTTATTGGTGTTGCCTTAACACCTATCATTGATGTATTTTTTTTAATTTTATTAATGAGTTTTCTTTTTTACTTATCAAAAACAAAAAAGAAAGTGAGGCAACCCTCCATGAGTGCCTTGTCACCTTGACAACTATGTATGTATAAATGGATTGATCATCATATAGACAAAGGTTAATCTTAAAAAAATAATTGTGTTCTTAACTTCTTACAAATCCTACTATTATAGAGCTTTTAGTGTAAATCAAAACTTCAAATAGGTGTAAGCCCAAGTACTTAAACAAATCATAAACAGACACCCATGAAACCAGGCATTTTTCTTTAACTGGGTGTTTTGATGGCAACCCTACTGTAATTAATGTGTGCAGCAAAGATGCATCAGAATTCAGAAAGTTAATGCGTGCTTCTTATACTTTGAGGAGTGATCCCAAGGCAATTTCCTTGAGCCTTGCCTTGAGGCAAGCCCACTGATGCCTTTTAAAACAATGTGCCAGAAAAAAAGCAACAATGGAACTGAGACTGAAGTTCTAATTCACTTTTGTACTTGATGCATGGCTTCCACCACTTTTTTTTGGTGAGGTTATTGAAATTGTAGGATGTTGTTTTGTATTGGGTTCACTCTTATCACTGCTTATGTTATCACAATCTACTAGACCATTATTAATTTACTAGTCTTTTCCTCTTTAAAAAACTAGTTTTTCATCTAGAAATGTGAATGTTCTTACAAATGGGTGAATATACAAACTCAATTGTGGTTTCTGCAGGTGCATATTGCTGGTGTAGGTGATTGCAGCCTAGCTGGTGTGACATGCTTGGCTGATCCTTGTCCTTTACCATCAGCTGCTAAAAAAAAGGGACTACGTGAGAAAGAGAAACTTTTCTATGCACCTATGTCTGGGCTTGGGGATCTTCTTTATGATAAGGATGCTGTCTACATTAACATTAATGATCACCTGGTTCAGTTTTCCAATGTTGATGAAAATGGAGTGGCACGAAAAGGTATTCATATTTTCCTAATATTTGCATTTTTTATATTTTTTCCTGATTGCATGAAAGGTAGTTACTTAGTTTTCTTTGCCTTATTTATTTTACCTGATTCCCTGATTCCCTAATTCAGTATTAAAATTAGAAAACCATCTGTGTGATGTTAAATGCAGTTGCTTTGGTTACCAGTCATTATGAATAGAAATGGAATTATTACTGAATTTATCTTCTTGCAGTAAGCACAGAGTTGATTCATTTTAATTGCAAGTTGATCATCTTCTTTCATCTTGTTCTGCTAAAATGGTTGTGTGCTTTTCTTTTTTTGATCAGAAAAGATGGTTGTGTGCTTTTATTATCAGGAAAGGAACGTGATGTAGGTGAAGTTTTGGTGAAATCGCTTCAGAAAACAAAATACTCGATCGATGAAAAGCTAGAAAACAGCTTCATTTCTCTTTTCAGTAGGAAACCTCCTACATCAGAAGGTGGCAATGTAAGAGATGCTCCTCTGGAGGGGCGTGATGAGGCCATGGAGCATATGGCTGGATCACAGTCGTCAGAAGAAAGTGAATCTGGAGAAGAAAATGAAGCCAATTGGATTAATGAAGAAAGTAATGCTGGAAATCAGGATAGTTCTGAATCTTCAGAGCAAGATGAAACTAGCAAAAGAGAGCCAGTTATGGATAGTGAAGATGATTCTGATGGAGAAAGTGATAATGCATGGGAAGAAAATGGAGACGAAGAACATCGGAAATATTTAAAATCTGATTTAAAAGAACAAATTGAGTTTCACAATGGAAGGATAAGGAGAAAAGCTGTCTCGGCAAGTGGCAATGATCAAAGTGATGACAAGGTAATAATGTGCTTTCCTTTATTACACATATTTTTTTCCCTTTTTAATAAATTATCATATATATTAGATGATTGCCATAGTGCATATTCACCTTTTTATCCCATTTGAAGAATTCCACTTGAACTCCTTGGTTGCTGTGTTTATCTCACTGTGTGTGCATATTGCCAAGTGTCTCTAGACTCTCTACTAGTGCATTTGCTTCTATTCTTTTTATATGCTTCTTACATAAATTGTTTTGGTATAGCCAGATGTTGATACACAAAAACAGTTAGTGGACTACATATAAGAGCAAAGGACCTTGAGTGGTATTTGGCTCTTTGCAAATGATGCTAGTCTCTTGACTCTCTACTAGCATTCATTCCCTGTGCTGTTATGGGTGGACTCTCTCTGGGCATAGTGAAATTTCATTGCCTCTTATTTTCCTCAGTTTGTGGTACCTTATGAATGTATCATTCATTGTTTCCTGAACCACATGGTTCCTTGATGGAACTTCTTTGTTACTTTTATTTGTTTTGCAAAAGTGATTGCTAGTCATTTCACTAAAAAACCTTTTCATATTATGCCGATGTCAATTTAGCCACATTTTCTTTGAAAGTCATGGTATCATTTAGGCCCAAGTACTTTCCTCTCTTTCTCTCTCTTGGGGTGGTTTTTAGGGTGGAGGAATAAGTAGACATAATATTTGATATTTCGATCATTTTGACTTGTAAATCCTTAAACTAAGATAATAAAGTAGGCATCTGATAATGCAGATTTTTTTGACCATATGAATCTATATATGTTCCCAATCAACTTCTTGATACTCAAGCTACAATGCAAATCAAAACATATTCCTATTAGACTCTTACATTCTCAACTTGATAATACCATAGAATAGGTTTAAATTTTGGTTATGCTCTTGAAGGTTTTGTTTGTTACATCAACCATCAGTATAGTTGTGACATATACTCATATTTTGAATTTTACTTCATTTTAGGATTCTGATGACGAGGATGAAGATGAGGATAATGAAGATGATACAGATAGTCAATCATCTGCAGAATCGGACTTTTTGGAGGAAGGCAAAGAAGATGACATTTCAGGAGGTAGGATTTCTGACAAATTGTGAATTCATTGTTTGTTGAAACTTTCATGTTCTGGTGCTAAGAAACATTCATTATCTTTTCCTGGAGTGTTGGTCGGTCCTCTTTTTTGTTAAATTTGGTTCATTCTCATAAGGTCCTTGTATTTCTTCTTTGCTTCTGTCTTAATGCTATTATAGATGATGAGATGGGAAATGCTTCTAAGTGGAAAGAGTCATTGATGGAACGAACTGTATTGAGACAGACTACTAATCTTATGCAACTTGTGTATGGTAAATCTACATTGAAGTCAACAACCTCTGTTGCTGAGGAACAGGGTGATGGTGAGGATGAATTAAGCGAGGATGATGACTTCTTTAAGCCAAAAGGAGAAGGCAAAAAGGTACTTGCTAAGATGCTCATGCCACATTTTACTTCTCTTACCTAAATAGGAACACATATTTGATAAGCCAGATGGTGCATTTTTAATTTTTGAGGGCCCTTCAACTAATGAATTCATGTTTAGACTTTCTGACTAAGCCAGATGTTTTGTGCCATAATTTTATTGTTGTTAATATGTATTGCAGAAACTTAGTGAAGAATTGGATGGTGATAATGTCAATGTGGAGGATTGTTCCAAACTCACAAATCATACAAAACTCAAAAAATGGAAAGACCAAGAGCTTATCGAAAGCATTCGTGATCGTTTTGTCACTGGAGATTGGTCAAAAGCTGCTCGCAGAGGTCAGGATTCAGATGCTAACGGTGAAAATGATAATGATGATGATGCTGTTTATGGTGAGTTTGAAGATTTGGAAACGGGAGAGAAGTTTGAAGGCCATGATACAATGCAAAAAGAAGATGATGCGGAAATTGAGGATCGGAGACTTAAAAAGCTTGCACTTCGTGCAAAATTTGATGCTGAATATCTTTTTCCTTGTAGCAATTTCTTCATTATTAGTTTCTCTCTGTCATTGTTTAGGATTTAATTAAAAACTGAGCTTATGATAAACTGGACAGTTTCTATAGTTACTTGCACGTTGTGAGGCCAAGTTGCTCTGTTGTTTTTCACTGTATATGGAAATTTCATCCTTCTGTTTTTTTTTAACTTTTTACGATAAATGCCTTCAAAGATTGCCTCACCTTAACTTTGGTTTACATATGATGGATCTGGGCAATCAGATGAAGAAAACGATGAAAATAATGAGACCAAGTTCCACCGAAATCAAGACAAGGATGGTGGATATTTTGACAAGGTAAAGCTGCTAACTATTTGAACAAGTGCATTTATTTTAACACAAGAGATTAACAATGGGTCATATTTTGCAGTTGAAAGAGGAGATTGAACTTCAGAAACAAATGAATATGGCTGAACTTAATGATCTTGATGAGGCTACTCGATTGGATATAGAGGGTTTTAGGACAGGGACTTATCTGAGGTTAGAGATTCATGATGTTCCTTATGAGATGGTTGAACATTTTGATCCCTACCATCCTATTCTGGTTGGAGGCATAGGTCTTGGGGAGGAAAGTGTTGGATGTATGCAGGTTAGGCCCTACAAATATCTTGTCTTTTCTTCTGATTTTTTTTTTTGTATTACTATTTGACACGAATTTACTTAACCATACTAATGCAATGTGCTATTTATTTTTTATCACTATTTATTTATTTTATCTTAATTCAATGTGCTATTTATTGTGCATGCATGAAGATCTGGATTAATTACTTTATTATGCTTCTTAATTTGAACTATGAACATGAAATTATAAAATCATAAACCAGAAGAATTAAGATGGTTTATAGGGACAAGCAACCATATGAAGATCAAGATAATATGCTTGATCAGTAATAGAATTACAACGAATTGATGAAATAGAGTTTAAGATGTTTTGCTGTTACTAGCATCTGAAGTTACGTGGAGTGCTTTGAAAATCAATATGCATCCATACCAGTGTGATAATCCTTATGCTAAAGAAATTTTTAAATTTTTTGCTAGGATGTTTGACCTCTTTCTTCTCAGTGGGATGATTTTCATGCTACGTCCAGTTCTCTGAATAGGACCCTCAATCTCTCATCATGATTATATCCAAGAAATAACATTTTCTTTATCTGATAAAAACATCGTTATATCCAAGAGAGATCTTCTAATGGTTGGACTCCATGTAATATGATTCCAAAGCATAGGCTAATAGTGATATCCCTAGGATTGGGGTGAAAAAGCTTAAGACATATCTCACATAATGCTAATTTTCCTGAAACAATAATGTAAATTCTAGAACTCAGGAGGATTTTCTACAATATTGCTAGAACTCAGGAGGAACTAATTTCGATAGCAGTTGGAAAGCTAATCTCTTGGGTGTCGGCAACTAAAGGGATTCAGGCCTCCCAATTGGGGGCTAGACTGAATTCCAATAACTTTTGGCATTTGTAATCTGGGTGGTGTAGTGATTGTACCCCATCAAGGTTTTTCCTTGGGGGGATCTCTTTGTAATTTATTTCGTTATTAATAAAATTTACCTTACCTTTTCTAAAAAAAAGTTAATTCTGTTAATTTTCTTCAAAGAATATCTCACATAATGTTACAGTGCCACGCTATTCATCCAAAATTTAGGTCTAGTTAGTATCTACTCTAAAATAAGAAAATCCTACAAATAGTTGGCAGGCTTTCATAATTCATTTCCAATTCTTCCATCTCTGCCCAAGCCCTTTGATCAAAAGAACTTCTTAATTTGATTGTAGATTACAAACTTGCTAGTCACCAAGATGCCATTCTAAAATCCATCTGCCTTATACAAAAGACATCTGAGCTAGCCACTGGACCTACCAGTTTTATGCTGGAGAGCACTTTTTTCAATGGGCTATCGTTCAAAAAGATTTTTTGGGCTTGAGCTTTTCCTCTCTAGTAGATTATAGGCCTCAAATTCTTTTGGTGATTCCTTTTCTTTTGTATCAAGATGACTTCCATTCTTGTTCTGTTGACCTTTGGCTGCTTGCTTTATCCTGCCTGTATGCTGCTTTGAGGAAAGCTTTTCCTCTTAGTAGTAAAATTATTTCCATCTTCCAAAAAATTAGCCAACATCTGCAACAATCCGTCTTCTCTCTTAGCTCAGATTTTCTTTTCTTTTCTTTTTTTTTTTGTGATTGCTAATTGTGTGTAGAATAATTGATTACAGTACAAAGCACGCCAAATATCCTTTCATAATAGAAGTGATAGGCTAGTTTCAGCTGCCCATTTTCAAAAGAAAAGTCAAAAAGCAAATTAATTGACAACATTACCATCAAGATAACACATTGGGTTAAAGTCAATGATTTTTTTAAGGAGTTTTCGGTTGATGATATAATCATCGCTGGAGCAGAAGAGCGGGTACCTTTGACACAACAAAGAATTAAGCTAAACTTTGCTGTGGGGAAGTGTTTCATGGTTGCATTGATACTTGTGTTAAGCTTCAAAGAAAAAGGCCAAATTGGTGTTTGTCCCCCAACTGGTGCAGCTTGTGCAGGCTTCATGGTGAGACTGCTTTTCATCTTTTAGTCTCCTGTCCTTTTGTTGGCTTTATATGGGAGTGGTTTGCCTCACCTTTTGGTTGTAGGTGGCTCTCTCCTGTTAACTTGGAAGGGCTGTTTTCCCCTTATGTTTGCAGGTGCGCTACTAAAAGAGGTAGGTTGATGTGGAAATGTACAAGGGCAGCAGTTGTTTGGACAGTTTGGGAGGAAAGAACCTCTAGAATCTTTGGGGAAAAGGAAAGAACTAAAGACGCATTGATTGAGGCCATAACCCTTTGAGTGGCTCATTGGGTTAAGACCTTGAACTTGTTCTCAGATTTTCAGATTGATGATTTCTTCAGAGCTTGGGGGATTATAGTTGCTTTATCTTCTAGAAGACAACAGTGGTCTGGTCTCTTCTGCCTTGTGGCTGGTTCAAATTGAGCTTTGATGGTAGCAGTGTGGGCAATCCATGCCCTGTAGACCAGACCACTCCTGCCAGAGATGAGGAAGGCAACCTTTGTGAATTGTTCTTGGGTCCAGCTGGGCATAATGATGTGTTATCTACAGAATTCTTAGCTGATGTATTTGGGCTTGTGAAAGCTAAGGATTTGGGCCTGGAAAAGATAAATTATTGAAGGTGTCTCCAAACAGTTGTGGACTGGTTAAGGAAAGGGGAAGGAGTCTCTTGGCACCTAAGGAATGGCCTAGGAGATTCAAAAGGCTCTCCAGGGATATGCTGATTCAAATTAATTGGGTTAGAAGATTGGCAACAGTTTGGCAGATAGTTTAGCTAAACAAGGGTACAAAGACAGTCTATGTTTTGCCCCTTTTTACTATTACAGATTACAACATTGCCCAAAATAGAGTGGATCTGTCCACTCCCTGTTTTGCGAGAACATCTGCCAGCCCATTTGCTGTTCTTTTACCCATCCAAAACTAGTGTTACAACTTTTTGCAAGGTAGTCAATTTCCCCGAAGGCAAATTTAAATTTCCGAGGAGCTGAAGTAATTTGTTGTGCCCAAGAAATAACCAACAAGGAATCTCCTTCCACTTCAAGCTCTCTAACACTCATCTGTGTTGCCAGTTTAAGTTGTAAGAGAGCCATTGTGTCAGCCTTAACCGAGTCGCCAAATCCAATTGGCCCAGAGAATAAGACCACAACTGCACCTTGATGGTTTTTGAAAACTCCCCCTATACCCACCCTCCCCGGATTACCAAAGGAGCTCCCATCAAAGTTTAATTTCAGTTTGTTTGGCTTTGGAGGTTTCCATCCATTATTACTACTTTGTGTATATCTGTTTGTACCACTTCAGTCCATTTCCATAATAAGTCATTTGTGGAAACATCTCTGAAAAGCTCCATTGTTTTAGCCCAATGTGCAGATTCAATCCTTATGGATTCAATCACTTCCTCCATTGATTTACTCTTTTCATGGAAGATTCTTTGGTTTCTTTCTTCCCAGATGGTCCAAACCAGGGCTGGTCTTGTGATTTTCCATAGACATCTTCACCTTTTTTTTGTTGCCTCGAGAAATTGGAGTTGAATAGGCTAACAACATCCTGAGGGGGTACCCATTTGCAACCAAAACGAGAGCAGTAGTCCCAATTACAAGTTACAAACGAATAGGAAATTTGTAAATGAGGAAGGGTCTTACCACTGGCTTTGCAAAGGAGACACACATGAGGAGAGAGGCAATTATTTGGCCTTCTTTTCTGTAGCATGTCACAGGTGTTAATCTTCCCGAGGAAAGTTTCCCAACATAGAGCCTACACTTTAGGAGGTATTGGTTTGCACCAAATTTCTCTCACCGGGAGATTTACCCTTACGGGCTTTGAACTAATTAGAAGGTTAAAGAAAGAAGCATAGGATAAGTGACCATTAGAGGCGGGGTACCAAACTCTCCCATCCAAGAGATTTTGATCCAAGAAAACCTTTTCCAAGAGAGAGTAGGAGGATAAGGGATTAACACTCATTGTCCCTCAACCCCCTTTTGAACCCAAAATCCCAATTTAAACCACATGATGAAGGCCTACTGAACCTAGAGACTGGTTTGTTCTTGAGGTTTGTTAGAGAGTATAGTGTTGGGAATTGTAGTTTGAGTGGTAGGTCCCCAAGCCAAAGGTCTTCCCAAAATAAGACTTTGTTCCCACATCCCACATCATAATGGATAGAATTTAAGAAAGTAGGTAGTACCTCAAAGATTGCCTTCCAAAGGGAAATTGTAGAAGTGTGAGGTGCCAATTTTGCATCCCAGCCATTTTTCGCAACACCATGAATGCTTTCAATGATCTTGTGCCACAATCTGTCTTCCTCTAAGGAAATCTCCATAACCACTATCCTAAGAGATCTGTATTCCTCTTAATCAGGTTTCCAATTCCCAGGCCCCCTTGCTCCTTTGGTTTGCACACCTGTTCCCACTTCACCAAATGATCTTTCTTTTCATCTCCTAGCTCCCACAAAAAATCCCTCATCAACTTTTCTAATTGCTTTGCGATTTTCACCAGGATTCAAAGGTGGAAAGGTAATAGGTGGGCAAATTTGCTAAGGTGGATTTGATCAACATAATTCTTCTCCCTAATGAGATATAATTTTTCTTCCAAGAGGCTAATTTTTTAGCAAACCTTTCCACTATTGGTTTCCAGAAACTCCTTGCCCTAGGGTTTCCTCCCAACAACATACCTGGGTACTCTAGGAGCCAAGGTCTCACCTTCACAACCTAGGATTTCATCTAAAGTGACATGTACTCCTCTCCTAAATTTATCCCAGTTACACAAATTTTCCCCTAATCGACTTTCAGGCTTGGTAATCTTTGGAATCGGTCAACTAAGGCTTTCAAATTTCTTGTATTGAGCTCTCTACAACTCTCATAGAAAATGATTATGTCATCAACAAATTGTAGATGTGTCATAACAACCAATTTCTTCCAATTCTCCACCCTTTGAATTGGATTTCGAGATCAGACTTAGTATCAATTTACTCGAGACCTTTGTAATGAGAGTGAACAAGAAAGGGGAAAGAGGATATCCTTGCCTTAAACCCCTTTTAGTTGGGAAGAAGTCC